CGGAGAGAAGGGGGGGGGGGGGGGGGGGGGGGGGCGCGAGGACTGGAATTGAGAACCGCTGGCATATATAATAAACTGTAGCAGATCTATACAGGTGGAGCTGGGGGAGGTGGAGGGTTTCAGAGGAACTCTAAAAGCACGCTGTGAACTGCTGACCAGCCATTTAAACGTAAAGCAGTAAGCTCATTGGCTGTGTATGTAACATGAACCAATCAGCTTGTACCAAGCAGTTTAACACTGTGAATATCATCAGTTTGCGTTAAGGACCCATCAGTCTGCGCCATCTAGAGTTTCATGACAGAACTTGACATTTTCATTCTGTTCAGTGTGACTGGTTGAAATTACAGGGCCAGAACAGGTGTGTGTGTTCAATACCAGACTCGTTTAGCAGTAAATGATAGAAAAAGACTTTAATGGCTAATTTATTTATGAATTCAATTTAGATGGGATATTTGCAAAGTGGAATTTAATAATCACTGAAGCACAAAAGATCACCTACTCTATGAGACCAGCACTACTGTCACCTGATATGGGCTAGTGGCAAAAATATAATCTGTGTCTTTTTTTATAGGTGCATGTAGTTTAAAAAAAGTATAATTTTTTAATATTTTTTATTTTTACATAATGAGTCAAAATGAAATGAAATTGAAATTTTTGGTATCACTTTAGTATAGGGACCAATTCTCAATATTAACTATTAATTAGCATGCCTATTATTAACACATTAGCTGTTTATTAGTACTTATAAAGCACATATTCTGCATGACCGTATTCTACATCCCTAATCCTACCCAATACCTAAATTTAACAACTACCTTGCTAACTATTAATAAATAGCAAATTAGGAGTTTGAGGCAAAAGTTGTCGTTAATGGTTTGTTATTAGCGAGAATTGGACCTTAAAATGAAGAGTGACCAAATTTTCTGTGCATTTCTTTCTTCATTCAGTCGTAAAGAAATTAAAGCTGCAGTTCTATAGAGTTTTGCCTCTTTGTCACCATCTCTGTTTGAAACCTGCAATTGCAGTTATTTGTGGAATTACTTTCTTTACGTGGGTTGTGCATCGGCACGGCTCCTCAGCACGGATGAATATGAATATGACATGTGTGGCTGACAGTCACCGCACTGGTGTGGATTCACTGTACTTCGGAAGAATGACCCAAATAAGAATTTTCACCGGAAAATGTAATCTGAACAAGTAAGTAACGTCTGCCACTTTTGTTCTGACCAACTGAGAAAAAAACAACACAATAAATTGTGCTACCAATGGTAATTAAATCTAACGATCCCTTAGCTCATATCATATCAAACCATACAAATTATTATTATTGTTATACTTTGTTCTCAAAATGTTAATGCTCTACACAAGCCCAGCCAAGGAATAGGGGTCTTATCTAGCAAAATGATCAGTCATTTTATAAAAAAAATAAAACATATATACTTCTTAACCACAAGTGTTCGTCTTTGAAGCTGCATTGAAACTGCAATTTTGACCTTCAACCCATTGAAGTCCACTATATGGTGAAAAATCCTGGAATGTTTTTCTCAAAAACCTTAATTTCTTTTTGACTTACGAAAAAAAGACATGAACGTCTTGGATGACATGGGGGTTAGTAAATTATCAGGAAATTTTTAATTCTGGAGTGAACTAATCCTTTAAAAAGGCTAGCTAAAATCATTTCAGCAGTACAGAGAAACTGCAAAAGCTCTGATTCTCAGAGGGACTTTTAAGAGTGCTGAAAGAGGAATTCTGGGGAGAGTCTCACCTCTCCCATATGAGGAGCAGCGCTGGAGAGACGAGATATTTTCCTCAAGGGTACAGAGTCTGATCATGGCAGACACAGACGACAGACACAATACACTCAAAATAAGCACAAAACAAACAGCTGAGAAGATTTTTCCTATATTATTGTATATCAGGGTGATATATATATATATATATATATATATATATATATACAGGGTGCGATTTGTGAACAAACCAGAGGGGGGGATGTTTTGGAAAAAAAACATAATTTTTTCCCCTTTAAAATATATCACAGATCACAGCAATAAATATATAGATCATTTTTGACACCTGTTACAAAACCATTTTTACAATAAATATTCTGATTTGACCTTGAGATTAGATAGCTTCGATATTTGACCACTATTTATGATAATACTTGGTTACAGTGACTCTAGTAGTTCTCATTTCTGCCAGGAATGCAAAATCAATCGGGAGTTAATGATATTTTGATCAGAATAACGAGACACCGTTAATTTTCAATCGCATTTGCTTCCATATTTTTGTACAGGGTTTCGCTACACAACATACAAACTTTACTCCAAAAGTGTGCACATTTGGCTATTCACACGTTTACCTCATATTTCTTTAAATAGAATAGAACCATAATTTGTTTCGTAAGGCATCAGGTTTAGAGCAGTAAATGGTAGTTTGGGGATCCAGGTCCCATCGGAGGGCCAGCCTCGTTACCACGGTAACCGCTGCCAGCCTCTTGGGTAGGTGTGTGGGGCAGCGGGGTCATGTGACACACACAGAACCTCCAAGTCAAAGTTGGACTAGCTAACTCAAATCACCATCTGCATCTTCTATTCTTCTCATCGCCCGCGTCACATGCAGTGATGCTCTTCGCCTCCACCACATCCCCCACTCAGTCCCCTCCACCACCCAGTACAGGGCCACGGGGTTACCATGGCAGCAAGGGTATCGGCAAAACAGCATCTCAAAGACTCCCATCATTTTACTGTTAATGATAACTTATATTCCACTCTCAAATCATCACGTTATGGTATAAGAATAGTTCTACACTAAACATGAAACTATGCGCTCTGACACGCGAGCCTCTGCAGTAATGTGACACACGCTCACACGTTTACTGCTGGATTCCACTCCACTACATTAACTTTAGGAGATAGGACACGTGTGCCAGGCTCTGCCAATGTGTGTGTGTGTTAGAGATTCATGCTGCTGTAGCATGATGCCGCCCGGCCTTCAACCCCCCACCCCCCTTTTCCCAGCGTTGCGAGGCACATCAGCGGCCTGGGACGATAGTGTGTGTGACAGCAGCAGCCCAACAACAAGCGCCAATGTGGGACACAGGAGGGAGGGGGTCAGCGCAGCACCTTCAGGCGCAGCAGACAGGACACTCGTGCATGCCCGTACTAACACACAGGGCGCACCTCAAGGCATTGAGGATAGGACAGAGAAAGTTCCCCCTTCCCCCACCGCCTGCACGGGGTCAAAGTCACCGAACCCTGATAGGGTAAAAGCAGGCTGTCCTGCACAACAAGCTCACAGCCCGATATTAGCATTTTCTTTGTGCCACTGCAACATGGCATCACATGCATGGATATAAATCAAGTGCAATTTTATTGCCTCAAAAATGAAGATACAATGGTTGTCAAAAACCTAGGTGGGCAGTCCATCATACCTAGTGGAAGTTTAGGTTTCTGTGTTCTGAGATGCCTTCATCTAGTGGATTTTTTGAAGGCAGCATAAATGCATCCTTCACTCTCTGTGATATCCCACAGCGTATGGTTGGAAGAACAAAAATGGTATATGATGGAATGGTTGAAAATAGCAAATTAGTTTATAGATGTGCATTTTTTCAACCAATAAATAAATACTGTTGTTATTTATATATTTGCTGAACAACGTT